AACGTCAACACGGATGCACACATCCTTAAACGCTTTGCTAGTGCTCGCCATAATGAGATGAATAGAGATCGCTCTTACCACAGAAATGCATGCTTCAAACAAAACAGTCAATGAAGACGAAGAAGAGAATGATGTGTGCTATACATATAGTATAGCACACATCGACTATAGACTATAGTCGCACCGGTAGTGACGTCATGGCTGTCGCCGGCCAACGAGTTGGTGTTTTTTCAATGTATGCTTCAGACACGGGTCACGACGAGGCGTTCCCCATAGCGACCCCTAGAGGACGCAGTTCGAAGTTCCCATAAAGGGAACAGCTGAACCAAATGACATAATCAGACATGAGGGAAAACTAGGTCAAGGAACACATGAGGAATGAAAAACAAACAAAAGTCCATGTGGTGGAGACGAACACTACTCCAGCCAGACATGATCATTGCTTTGTGAGCCAATAGTGGTCGGCTGTAGGGGCTTCATAGGATGGTCACTTTGTGAAGTTTTAATTTGGCTGGGGATCACAAGGGCCGGGTCACCTGGGAGAGGGTGTTTGATGTTGAAAGACCAGACAAACCCGAGGACTCCAGGGAACATCATTGATGATGCATCCCAGTGCAACAGGACGATGTATGTTACATATTAACAGTGCGTTCCAAACGGGATATATCGCCCTCCGAAGGGCACTTCTGAGTGAAAACAATCATGGCAGCCATATTGAAGGGTCGTTCCAAACTGAAGTGCTCAAAACTGGCCACTTCAAAGGGCCCCTCGGAATAAAGGATTTCAAATGGTGCAACTGATGGACACTTCGGGCTCCCATGATCCGCCTCCGTGTGGGCACGTGATGATGACGCAGAAGGGCACTTCAAGAAACAGTTGTTTGGTCCCCTACACCCTTCAACCCTTCGAAGCTCTCACTCCGAAGGGTAAACCCTTTGAAGGGAATAGGGCATAGGGATGAGCCCTTCCGAATGGAACGCAAGGTAAGTTTTTAGACTGAAGATGTTGACTCTGGTGAAATGCTGACTTTTCCTGATTGGTTAATTAAGTCCCATCCTACATTTTTTTCTCATTAATTTTTCTGTTTCTTTTAGAAATACAGCAGCACCCAAAACCTAGATTAGGAAGGCAACAAAGCACGTACGAATTCAATGATTGTGTCACATCCTTTCTACTGGGATACTTCAGCCCAACGATTTTTGTCATGCATCCATCAGCATGCATCTTTCACTAACTATGAATGACACTATCCTGTGAGTGCGGTTCTGATGAGATGAGAGTTGCAGCTGGCAGTCAGTATAGGTTTTGCCCATTTTTTCCATCTTTTGACATAATTTCTAGTGAAAAATTAGAATTGTGGTAATTTAATTGCTTTGTTATCACCAAATTTCTATCTATTTTTGATGATCATTAGGCGTTTATGCTGCCTCTAAGCCAACAGCCATTAATTCACTACACCACCACACTGACTGGAGTCGGAATGTTTGTAGAAGTTGGAACAATTTGAGAGTCAGTAAATGATGTCAAAATTAACTATTCCCTTAAATAGGAATTTTTACATTTCAATATGATATGACTAAACTAGAGACACAGTAAAATGTATCTATGCCAGAGGTGGGACCAAGTCATTGTTTTGCAAGTCACAAGTAAGTCTCGAGTCTTTGGATTCAAGTCTCGAGTCAAGACAGGCAAATCCAAGTCGAGTTGCAAGTCCTCAACTTTAAGATTCAAGTCTTAAACAAGTCATTAGTGCTCTTTGCCCAAATTAGTGTCTCAGTATTAATTACCATATCAAATTCATAGTAATTTATATCAGGAAGGCAGGTAGAATATGTTTGACATAGTTACATTTCATGTGAGATGGGTGCCCTTCGTAAAACTACTCAAGTTCAATTTAGGGATTGTGCCAAAATAGGATAAGCAGTGAAAAAAACTATTTTATTAGTAACAGAATAGCAAAGACAACTTAATTTCATGGAAATAACAGCTGCAACATACTTTGCATGTGTGCATAAGAATAGCTATATGCTTCTAGGTGTTATATCGAAGCCAATGAGACATTATTTGGAACCTCAATGAAACAGATTTAAATGACAAGCGCAGTCTGCTCTGATTGGCCAGCTGACCCAGTGCATTGTGATTGGCCGAACACCACAAGCACGCGTCAGAAATGTAACGCCCCTTTCCATAATTGCGAGCTTCAGCTTTCAGCATAAATGTAAAGACAGTATATGATGTCCTCAGTTTTACCATCAGTTCAAGCCCGAAAGCGGAACAGAGTTGCGTGACAGACACAGTGATGATGCTCGTATGTATATGCCAGAGGTGGGACCAAGTCATTGTTTTGCAAGTCACAAGTAAGTCTCGAGTCTTTGGATTCAAGTCTCGAGTCAAGACAGGCAAATCCAAGTCGAGTTGCAAGTCCTCAACTTTAAGATTCAAGTCTTAAACAAGTCATTAGTGCTCTTTGCCCAGTGAGAGGAAACATGCAATATGGATGCAGACAAACTCATGAAGACAATCATTCAAAAATGCTGTGCTACCATACTTTATAACGTTAAATGTTAAGTTTATAATATGCTAAGAGTAACAAAGACAAAATCATTTAATAGAAAAAAAAATGTTGTACATTAAATGTTAAGTTTATAATATGCTAAGAGTAACAAAGACAAAATCATTTAATAGAAAAAAAAATGTTGTACATTAAATGTTAAGTTTATAATATGCATAGTTGATCACTAAATTTAGGGGCTATGTGCGCTATAGGCCTACAGAATGATTTACAACACGTGAATTAATTTATTTATCCCGAAAGAAATGGAAGTGACATGAGTGCCTGGTGAAGAGAGAGAAAAGATGAGTAGCCTATATAGTTATATATACAATACTCATTTTGTGAAAGAAACACTTCTTCAAATTATATTTTAAATGATCATTAGGCCTATTGCCGCTTGCCCACTTCAGACATTAGGCCTAATGTGCATTTTTCTTCTTCAGATTATAGCTGAATGGTTTGCAGTGATTAATTTTAAATCTAGATTAAATCAAGGTTTATCTAATAATTCTGTTGCACCAAACTTTAAACCTT